CTATCTATCTATCTATCTATCTATCTATCTATCTATCTATCTATCTATCTATCTATCTATCTATCTATCTATCTATCTTTCACCAGTTTCCATGAAATATTTTTGAAATACAGTGTCATGAGACCCTAAATTAATTAATTTTATAGCATTTTTCTGGTTATTGTAGATTTGCATGCATATTAATCAATAAACAAAATATAAATAGTTATGTTATTGAGATATTAATATACTGTGTGTGTATTTATATATATAACAGACAAATGTGAATGTGTTGATATACCTAAGAAAAATCAATCTGTTTGTAAAACAGTTTAATGACTAAGATTTCAGATTATCCCTGCACTGTTTTGTTTGCTTTATTATATATATATATATATATATATATATATATATATATATATATATATGACGCCAGCTTTTTTTGTTGATCTTTATTGCCTGTTTTGGATTAGGGAGTTTGGGAAGTAATTGTATTTTCTTGCCTTTTATTTTGTGCTTTTTATTTTGTATTTTATTTTAGGGCAGTAAGAGGTCTCTATATATTACTCTTTTAGTTTGTTATTTTGTGCTGTCGGCTCCTGAGGTAAAGTCCCCAATTCTATTCTAACCTAAAACCCAATAAATATTGCTTCATTGGCTTTTTCCTTCAAAGTTTTTATGTTGCGTCCTTTATTCTAGAACAAAAGGTACTGCAGGTGAATAAACATCATCATTCCAGACTCTTATAATATAATATCTAAAATTTTTATTGTGAATCATTACTTCTCATGCCTCCAGTATTTTCTTGCGTTTTACACATCAGCCACAGATAGCACTGATCTGTATCTCAACATCTGTAAAGTCAACATGAAACAAACAACATTCATAAGCTCTTCTGGAAAGTGGCGTTGTGCCAAGACAAAGAATATTCAACAAGGGGAGGGAAAGTAGGACAGGATTTGATCGTATCCGTCAGAAATGCTGCAGTGATTAAAATCACCGGTGACAAAAACTGATAATGAAAAGGAACAGTTATTAAAGACGTAAACTGGGTCACTTTTGATTTTATGTTCATTTCCAGGCCTACACAATCCACACAACGTGAATGTCTCTCATTCATAAAATACTACATTTGATTTTTTTAATGTAATATTACAGCTAATATGATTATGCTGCCACAAACATGTTGCCCTCACCGCTCTATTTAAAGACCTTTTGTTTGTGTCTGTGGTGTTTTATTATGATGCCACATGGTTTGTGTCACATTAGCAACACATTATTATTATAACATAGTCAAGCAAAAGGCTAATCATATTAATTACTGAACTACCCATCAGATCAACATGTGGTCGTCAACGAGTGGATATCTGAGCTGAGTGAGAGGAGGCGGGGCTTGTTTGCATATTCATAGAAGCGTGCATACTAAATGAGGCGAGGGTGTCGAGTTACATTCAAGATATTTTAATACATAAGGAAAAAGTCATTTTGGTGATCAAAGATGAGTTTTAAGGGATACAGTTATTGACTACAGGGGACTATTTAACATGTTTAACTTTATAAAGCCTACTGTTTCATATTTGATATACAAATTATTTTAAATGATCAACATGATAAACCACAATCTCCTACAGTCCAGTCATCTGATGAAAACTGTTTTTAGAAAGTATTTTAGTATAATTCTACAAATGTGCAACTTCGGCTCCTGCTTCAAATCTGTGAAATCTTTACTGGTTTTATTAAGTAAATAAGCATAAATTAATATTGTTAATAATATTTCAAGATGAACACTTTCTGGACTGAAGCAACTCGATTATCTTTTTCTTTTTAAAATCATGTATCAAATATGCTCATCAGATTTTTTTGGTCATCTCTTACACTATTATTTCAACCCAACTTTGGGTCAAATATGGACAAACCCAAATGTTGGGTTAAAAATGTAATTAAAAAAATGTACAGTTGAAAGCGAAAGTTGAAGTTGGGTTCAAATTTTAAATGACATTTATAACCCAACATTTGGGTTCGTCCATGATTTACCCAAATTTGGGCTAAAACAACCCAGCATTGTTTAGAGTGTAATCATCGTTGTATTGCAAAACATAAAACTACAGAGCCTTGATTATAAAACTAAGCTTTTAAATATCATCTTACTAAGACATTATTGAGAGATATCGAGACAACAGATATGCATTTTAAGTGGTGTTACACTCTAAAAATGCTGGGTTGTTTTAACCCAACTTTGGGTCAAATATGAACAAACCCAAATGTAGGGTTTAAAATGTCATTTAAAATTAACCCAACTTCAACTTTCACTTTCAACTGTACATTTTTAACCCAATGTTTAACCCAATCGCTGGGTTTGTCCATATTTGACCCAAAGTTGGGTTAAAACAACCCAGCAATTTTTAGAGTGTATGTGTGTGGGTATGTGCGTTTGTGGATGTGTATTTATTTATAGTTGTGAGAAAGGATTTGGACCTTGAGTCTGTAATAAAAGTTTGATGATGATGATGATGATGATGATGAAAGTCTCATTTATTTGCATAACAAGCATCAGAATTTCATATTACAACGTTTTGTCTTTAGAAATATCAGCAGATCCACCAGATATATATACATACATATATATATATATATATATATATATATATATATACACATATATATACATACATATATATATATATTCACACATATATATATATATATATATATATATATACACACACACATACATACATATATATATACATACATATTTCATAACATACATATATAAATATATATATATATAATATAATAATATATATAATATAATATAATATAATATCCGTCCAAAAGATGTCGAGAGTGAGGTGCGATGGAAAAGCATGAAATATTTTCATGTTTATTTTTTGATCGGAACAGTTTATTAAGCCTCATATATATATATATATATATATGAAGAGTTCAGATGCAAAAGCCTCTAAGTGCCATTTGAAATTTTCTTCTAAAATGATCATTTTTATCAAGCTTGTATATTTAAGTTCAGTAATTTCACTTAAATAACAATTAATAGGTAATCTTCATTGCCATTTAAGTGAAATCACTGAACTTAAATATACAAGCTTGATAAAAATGGTCATTTTAGAAGAAATTTTCAAATGGCACTTATAGGCTTTTGCATCTGAACTCTTCATATATATATATATATATATATATATATATATATATATGAGGCTTAATAAACTGTTCCGATCAAAAAATAAACATGAAAATATTTCATGCTTTTCCATCGCGCCTCACTCTCGACATCTTTTCGGATTTTCGTCATCGAAAAACACAGATCTGTATCAGTGAACTTTTGCATGTTGTATGTATGTCATGATATGGATGCCACCGCTAGACCCCCTCCCACACACTCACACATAAACCCACACACTCATTGTGCTTTCCAGGTCGAGGGAAACCATTCAGATCTAGACATGACTGACGGAGGAAAGTTTCAAGTCATGCAGCTTTCACCCTCGAGCACAAATTGCTTCCATGATCCTGGTGAAGGGAGGAATCCCCAGCGCGAACCTGTCCTGTCCGGGGGTCACCAGGGCCTTCCCCTGTCGCGGTGACACTATGCTATGACACGCACCACTTCCTGTCGAGCGAGGCCTGTGATTGGCTGGCGTAGGGCTTCTTTCAGAGGCCCACTGTGAGCTCATTTCCTGTTCTACGATGTTGGGTGATCGCGTATCTCAAAGTGTGTCGTGACACGGCGGAACTGAAGCCACAAGCCGTGTCGCTTAAGTGTCATTGAGATTAGATTACACTGAAAACAATTTTCACTTTACCAGGGGTACATTTCACAAAAAAATTCAGAATTTTGACATTTCACAAAGAAGTAATACATTTAATGAAACAGTATTCGGTCACACTTTAGTTATGGGTCCAATTCTCACTATTAACTATCACACTATAAACAATGCTGGGTTGTTTTAACCTAAATTTGGGTAAAATATGGACAAACCCAAATGTTGGGTTAAAAATGTATTTTTTTAAATTGCATTTTTTAACCCAACATTTGGGTTAAAATAACCCAGCATTTTTTAAGAGTGTAACTGAGACTTTCTCCTCAGTAAACTCCTAATTACTGCTTATTAATAGTTGGATTTAGGGATGTAGAATATGATCATGCAGAATATGGCATTAATAAACAGTCAATAGTAATATGCATGCGAATAAGCAACTAGTTAATGAGAATTGGACCCTAAACTAAAACATTTTTTAATTGTCATATTGTATATATTTTTTATTTTACTTAAAGTGTGATTTTTAGTCTTTTTTTTTTATTTTTAACTAATAATTATCTTAGAACTAGGGCTGTGAAACGATTAATCGCATCCAAAATAAAAGTTTGTGTTTACATAATACATGTGTGTGTAGTGTGTATAATTATTTTGGTTATATAAAATACACACATCTGCATGTATATATTTAAGAAAAATGTGTTATTATAACAAATATTTATATTTATGTATAATATTAATTTTGCATGAATTATATACATGCAAATATTTCTTAAATATATACATGCATGAGTGTGTATTTATATATATATACATATACTATGTAAACACAAACTTTTATTTTGAATGCGATTAATCGTTTGACAGCCCTACTTAAAACATCAACTAAATGAAACTGAGAAGTGATTAGCAATGTTTTATTTTATTTATATATATATATAATTTAGTTGATTTCAAGTTACGAAAACTTTTTTTTGTTTGTTTTTTACGGTTTTAATTTTAGTTACCGATACGTAATTTAACCCCTTCAGGGTTTGGGTGCAAATATTTCATTTCCAGGGTTATTCTTATCTCATAAGATGAAGAAAAGTACATTAAACTTCCTGTTTTTGTCTATAATCAACATGGTTTGTGTGGGAAGCCGCAAAGTAAAAAGCACCTTTGTTATATCCACTTGTGTTTAATGATGCCGCACCTATAGCCGCTCTCTCTCACACACACACACACACACACACACACACGTTTCGGATGCTGATTCAGAATGAGAAGAGGAACTGACAGCATTTTGTAGTTTCCTGCAAAGTGTGCAGAAAGTCTGGGTCAGGTTCACATACACACACACACTGCATCTGTACACCCCCGCGCACACGCGCCTCTCGATTACATCTTTGTCAACTGACAGTCATGACGAAGGCCAGTGGAAAAGAAAAACTAAATCACTGATTGTAAAAATTGACTTTCCAATCTCCACAGAGAAGCGGTTTTCCTGGGTCCTCAAGGATTCTTATATAAAGGTGATTGTGTACCTGCAGACAGTATGAAGGACATCCATCCAACTAGCTTTAGAGAAGAAGCGTCGCAGATTAAACATGAAAGCGTCCGTGTGTGTTCTGTTCGCAGTGGCGTGTTGGATCGTTTCGCAGGCTGACGAGTCTCCGATGGTACTCACGCTCGGCAAAGTTATGAATGACCTCGAGAAGATTAACCGAGGAATGGTAAGTTGATTTCCAAAGATCTACGGCTGGGATCCTTTTACACGTTTTTGAGTCTGATTTTCTTCTTCTTTTCTCTAAAAAAAGGGCAAAAGCACAACTTTGATCAACTCACCCAGCACCAATGATTTGAAGGTAAGACGATGGTTTTCTTGTCTCCTGCTCTGTTTTTATGCCTGCTCATAAATCAGGCTCGGCGGTTTGTGCATGACTCAGTGATTCGATATAAAGACGCTCCTGTCATTATACAGCCCACCTTACACGCAGCGGGTTTCACTTCGACGCCATCCAGGCTAATTGATTTTCAAACGCGTTCAGAACGAGTGGGTTGATGAACAACATTTCAACGAATCCAGTTTGCTGAGACAGAAATAACAACTTTTAGTCATGCTTTTCTTGGCAAACACCCTCTCGATTTGAAATCGTTTCTTTTTTAGATTAAAGTCGGTCAGGAGAAAGTGTGCTTCATTTAGAAGAAATCTGATGAGTAATATATGACAGTGAGAGTAGAGATGATATGCTCAAACACTTTATTTTACAGTGTCCACACTCTAAAACATGCTGGCTTGCTTTAACCCAAAATTTGGGTCAAATATGGACAAACCCAAATGTTGGATTAAAAAATGTACAGTTTAAAGTGAAAGTTGAAATTATATTTTTAACCCAACATTTGGGTTTGTCCATATTTTACCCAATTTTGGGTTAAAACAACCCAGCATTGTTCACAGTGCATATTTTAAATTATGCATAATAACATGCAACTAACCCTCAACCAAATCCTAATCCTACTCGAACCCTTAGTACTTAAATATATAATTACACTGTAACAATGACACCTTAAAATAAAGTGTAGGCTACACTCAACCCAAATTTGGGTCAAATATGGACAAACCAAAAAGTTGGGTTAAAAATGCAATTAAAAATATACAGTTGATAGTTAAACTTGAAGTTGGGTTAAAATTTGAAATTACATTTTTAACCCAGCATTTGGGTTTGTCCATATTTTACCCAATTTTGGGTTAAAACAACCCAGCACTGTTTAGAGTGTAACCCCGATGTGTCCGTTTCACAGTTAAACCGTCTGCACGTCTCACATTGGGGTTCTAAACAGAACTCTAGGGTTCTAAAGTGATTGCATAATACTTTGCTTGTTTCATTTTTTCCCTCGGGATTAAATATGTTAACGAGCTGTTTATTTATGAAATGTGCTTAAAATGAAAAATAAAACAGTCCAAATCCATGAAATGATCCCATGATAAATCTGAAGCGTTTCATTATTATTGTTATTGCACTCTAAAAAATGCTGGGTTGTTTTAACCCAATATCGGGTCAAATATGGACAAGCTCAAACATTGGGTTAAAAATGTCATTTAAAAATGTCCATATTTGACCCAAAATTGGGTTAAAACAACCCAGCATTTTTCCATTTTTTTTTACAGTAACATTTGTTTTGTAATGACTTCTCAATAACGAAAGTGGCAGTTTCTGTTCACTCTCGAGCAGAAAGCGTTCTGGGTTCAGTGTGGAAAGAAAGAGTTTCCTCGTAGTTTCTGTGAAAACTGCTTAATGAGCACAAGGGAAATTTGGAGTCAAGATGTATAGATGTCTGCATGCAATACCAACAGGAAGAGAGAGAGAGAGAGAGAGAGAGAGAGAGAGAGAGAGAGAGAGAGAGAGAGAGAGAGAGAGAGATCATTGTTGGCTAGTTTCAGAAAACCAATCCCATTCCTCGAGTCTTTCATACAGGGTTTGCCTAAACTCTAAAAATGGTGGGATGTTTTAGGGACAAACCCAAATGTTGGGTTAAAAATTTAATAAAAAAATTTAACCCAATTGTTGGGTTAAAACACCTTAGCAATTTTTAGAGTGTAAAAATCCATTCCATCTGAACTCATATACAAATAAATGTAAAAGTGCATTTGTGTTAAACGGTTGTGTGTTTGTTTGGACAGGACTGCTGCATTGAACCTGCACTGGAGTCTTTTAGGCATAACGTGACCCGGCTGCCGATCACCGATGCGAAACTCATAAAGATCGGGGGGAAAATCTCCAGGGAGCTTAGAAAAAGCATCATTGTGAGTGTGTGTTTATTACGTGTTCTGCTCATTGTTCTGGTTTTAAACACATTCGCCTCAGAAATGAGAAGTGCTGATTTATCCATTCATTCATTGTTCTTTATTTTCACAGATGAACGGGTTGCACAAGTGCGGAAAGGAAGAGACACAGGTGAGAAACAAAGCAACACAACTGCTGCGAATCAACATTTCCTACACTCTTAAAAATAAAGGTTCTAATCGGCGTCGATGGTTCCGTGAAGAACCGTTAACATCCATGGAAACTTTCCATTCCACTAAAGCTTCTTTACAGAAAAATGTTCTTCACACTAAGACAAAAATAGTTTCCTATACACTCTAAAAATAATTACTGGGTTGTTTTAACCCAACTTTGGGTCAAATATGGACAAACCCAGCCAATGGGTCACATTTTTTAATTACATTTTTAACCCAACGTTTGGGTTTGTCCATATTTGATACAAGGTTGGGTTGAAACAACCCAGCATTTTTTAGTTTAAGCTCAAACACTTTATTTTACAATGTCCACACTCTTGTTTCAACCCAAATTTGGGTCAAATATGGACATTTTTTAAATTACATTTTTAACCCAATGTTTGAGTTTGTCCATATTTGACCCAACATTGGGTTAAAACAACCCAGCATTTTTTAGTGTGAATAATATTCACACTAAAAAATGCTGGGTTGTTTTAACCCAATATTGGGTCAAATATGGACAAACCCAAATGTTGGGTTAAAAATGTGATTAAAAAATGTAAAGTTGAAAGCGAAAGTTGAAATTACATTTTTAACCCAACGTTTGGGTTTGTCCATATTTGACCCAAAGTTGGGTTGAAACAACCCAGCCTTTTTAGAGTGATAAGAACTGCTCACTGAAATGTTCTTTGGAGAGTCAAAAACGGAGCTAAACGCCCTTTAGGAACCTTTATTTGTAAGAGTTTACATGGTGAAAGTGAAATATGATTGCAGTTCTGACGTGTGTGATGTTCTGTTTCAGAAAGCTCAGTGTGAATCGTCGTACAGCGAGGTTGACAGCAAAACGTTTGTGCAGAACTTTCGAACTCTTCTACAAAAGGTGAGTTCTAAACAATCACACTTTCTTACACTATTGGGTTGTTTCAACCCAAATTTGGGTCAAATATGGACAAACCCAAATGTTTGGGTTAAAAATTTAATTAAAAAATGTATAAAGTGAAAGTTAAAGTTGGGTTATGACACTTTTAACCCAACATTTCGGTTTGTCCATATTTGACCCAAATTTGGGTTGAAACAACCCAGCATTGTTTAGAGCGTACAGACTGACAAAAATGGTGATCTAGCATCTAAGTTAACGCTAACACTTTACACTATGGTTCATAACCTTAGCTAACATGAACTAAAGAATAAACAAGCAGCATTTATTAATCTTAGCTAATATTAATTTCAACATTTACTAATACGTTATTAAAATCAAAGGTTGTGTTTGTTAACATTAGGTAATGCCCACATGAACAATGAATGGATTTTTATTAACTAACATTAACAAAGATTTATCAGTACTCTACACTGTAAAAATGAATATGCTTTATCTAATCAAAAACATTGTGGCAACAGATTACAAGCAATATTATGAATTAGAATTGAGTAATAATTAAAAGTTAACCATTTAAAATAAGTTAAACTTACAACAACAACCAAAAAAACATAAACTGAAGTCGCCATTATGATGATCGGTGTTTGTTTTAAAATTCTGCTTATTAACATCAATGTTGCCAATATAAAATAAAGAGTTCTTAATTAATCTTTGACTGTTAGTGAGATACTAATTTTTAAAGGTTAACTTTGATTAAGTATTACTCAATTCTAATTTGTTAAATTTAATTAATAATATTACATGTAATCTGTTGCCACAATTATATTGATTAGATAAAGCATATTCATTTTTACAGTGTAACAAATACATTGTAAGTTTATTGTAAAGTGTCCCAAAGTGTAAATATTATTTAATATTGCTGAATGGACACAAAAACATTCATTTATACCAACAAAAGTTGCAGGTTTTTGTTAGATTGGTCCACTGGCCAAGCTGTGCTTCTCTTTAACTGTTGGTTGGATGGAAAAGATCCTCAGAAAGCACAAACAGAGATAACGAGCACTGTGTAACGACCTACTTTCCTCCTTCTAGATCTATGCCAGTCAAGCGTAGAGACGAGACGTGTGAAGAGCCCATGACACTACCCACGGCAGAGAGGAGTCTGCTCCTGCTATCCTATTTATTGATTATTTATTGAGCATTTTATAGTTTATTTGAGCTGGGAGATCTGTGAAAGGACTGTTCCGGTGTTTTAGGACCAGGCCGGCTGACGTTATCGACTTTAATTCTTTTACAATGTAAAATGTTGTCTTTGTTTTACCGCGACCTTTGTGGTGAGATCTCAGCACTGCTGTCCTGTTCCCTGAAAGAAGCCGTTGGGTGTTTCCCTGCTGAAGATTAACGATACGATCTTTCACTTTATTAAGTACGCTTCTTAATCTTTGTCAGGAAAACCACTCGTTTAGATCATGTTCACACTTATTATGTCTCACAATGAGATGCATGTATTTTCTGGATGATATTTATTTGACATTAAAATATTTTTTTTATGTTTACATCATGGCTGTGATCGTTATTGAATTCTCTCTATTTCAAAAGTGTTTAGTAACTAAAAACTGAACCTAAAGCTCAGCAACATTTCATGCCATTTTTTTTGTGAAATAGACATATACTACTAGTTAACGTTTGCTAACAAGCAGATGTTTCATGAGGACCAACCTGTTCAAATTGCACTCTTGATTTAGCACAAACTGCATCTAAAAGGCATTTATCTTGTAAACCTGGTTTAAAGGAGTCATATAATGCCATTTTCATACAAGTTAATTTCATTCTTTAGGGTCTAAATGAAAAGTTTGTAATATACTTTAATTAAAAATTCTGATTAGTATTGTGAAAAAAAACACTTATTTTACCTGGTCAAAAACAGCTCTGTTTTTCAGTGCATGTGTCTTTAAATGATAATGAGCTTTGTTGACTCCGCCCCTCTGTTCTGTGGGGCGGAGTGTTGCCTTGACAACAGTTGAGGGTTTATTTTGGAGAGAGAGAGAGTCTCTGTGGACACATTTGAACCGGAGTCGCACCGGAACAAGATGACGGCCCGAAGAAGTTCGATGGTGAGAAATGATTCGCGCAAACACGAACATTCGGGAAAAACTCAGCGGTTCGGATTTAGGAACATCAAAATGACTCTGCGTTCGTTATTACACCCGAGAACAGAACACCACAGTCGCTTAAACGCCGTTCTGCTCCAGCGTATCAACAATAGCGGACTATGATGATCGCTCGCTCAGGGCGGGGATGTGTTGAAACGCTGCTGTCAATCAACAATCGTGGGAGGGGCTTCCAATTTAGTGACGTCACACGGTTTATCATTATATAATGGTTGTGTGTACAGGCTCTTCCAACACACATTTCAGTACAATCAACTTGAAAAAGTGCACATACCATTATTTGACCCCTTTAAAGATCATTCAGATCATTTATTTAATTTCAGGATAATTTTGTATCTATTTCAGAATTTCAGTTTTAGTTTAAACAAAGTTTTGTTTATGTAGCGGATATGAAAGAAACGATATATATATAAATAATATTAACTAAAAAAGTAAATTAATATTGTGGATGGATGGATGTTTTCAATGTTGCATTAGATGAACAATTGATAGCAGTATAAAAGCATTGAACCAACTCTATCCTCTGCCTCCTCACCTTCATTCAGTGAAATGTAAGTCATTTAGGATCTTCATAGAGAAGAGAGCGCCCTCTATTGGAGAAACCTGAACCACATCTGAGAGGCTGAGAAGTCATTTCTTTTTTGTTAGGATAGGGGTTTTTTTTTGTTTATTGACTCACTGTTAGACTGAACTAAGCACTAAACTTGGTTAAGGTATTTATCTGACAAAATTATTTGGCAAAAAAGCCAAAGTGCAGCTACAGGTTATATTTTGTTTGTTTTTTAAAGCATTAAAAATGCATAGAAAAACAAAAAGCTCACAGGAAAAAGCATACATTGACTACAACATAATCTGTTTTCATAATTTCATTGGTTATCCTAGACTCATGTGATGTATTTTTAATAGATAAGATAGTAAAATGCATTTTAAACTAACAACATCTAAACCTGCGTTAGGCCAAAAATTCGAACACAAAATTTTTTGGCATCCAAAGAAAATTCTGAGATGCTGACCAGACAATATCAAAAAATATACTGTCTAGAATAGTCTCATATTAAGTAAATCAACTGAACTTCTAACCTTTTGACCTTTTTTCTTCTAAAGGGTTAAGATGGGCTTGTTCTTGCACAGATTAAACCAATCATATTGAAAGAAAGTGACATGAGCTTAGTCACGTTGATCTTACTGTTACGTATCCTGATGAAAAAAGTATAAATGCTAGAGTATAATTAATATAAAAGAACGGGGACGTCGATTGTAGACGATTGTCAGGTGCGAAGGAAGAAAAACTCTACCACACTCCATTGACACATTTTTATAAATATTTAAATAAAGGGTGAACATTAACTAGGCCGGTCAACACTATTGGCCTCTACTGTATGGCAGTTCATTGACTTTACAACTGATCATCAAACCATGCAGCAAAACGCAAGTCGCTTGTCTGATTCAGAGTTTGAGGACAGACATTATTGTCAGTCTCACTGCGACGAAATACAACACTTCCCAACTATATAGTAGGCCAAAAACAGAGTAGTATGTCCGAATACACAGTACGTCAGTCCACGGATGACCGACTACTTCCGGTGGGATTCTGAAGTGTGTATATGATGGACACTTCACTATCCCATGAGGCCACGGGAGAGGATTTGGACATGATAATGACAACATGGTGGATGTAGTACATCTGGATTTCAATTAAACTACTCATTTCCATACTATATAGGACATACTTTTTATATTCATATACTCAAGTCTGTCTTCGCTTTTAGCTTCTACTCTTCAACAAGTCCTACTTTTACAATCTAAAAAATGTGTTTTAACCCAATTTTGGGTCAAATATGGACAAACTCAAACGTTGAGTTAAAAATGTAATTTAAAAATCTAACCCAATGGCTGGGTTTGTGCATATTTGACCTAAAGTTGGGTTAAAACAACCAAGCATTTTTTTAGAGTGAAGCAATTTTTGACTGAAATGGTGATTACATCTAAATTAATATGATTTAATATCGCTGAATCAACCCAAATACATTAATTTATACCAACAAAATAAATATAAAACAGCTCTTTAAGGTAACAGTATTTTAAAGCATTTCGGTCAAAGCTTAAACCTATTTTTAAGAGCATTTTTTGAGACGTTTTATACACCTGGCCGTGGTCTTTCAATCTAGTCATAGCTGGCTTGGCAGGCCGGTTTTAGAGGGGGTTCACCACTTCATTAGACGGCAAGGCTGGGAAACCAGCTTGACCAGCTTAAACCAGTTACATCCACCTTAAACCAGCCTACCAACTTTCTTGAATGGCAGAAATTGAGTGCGGTTTAGAGTTCAGTCTGTGTTTTAAGGGTTGCAGTAGGTCATCCTCATGTTGTGACTTACTATATTATAAATACTAAAGTATTTTAAAGGTTCTTTTGATAAAATTTATTGCTTGTGTTTGAAGGGGTTGTATTCACAAATTGCAATGATCCACTTTTCGAGTTTTCCCATTACCTCTGAAGGCCAATATTCATATTTATAAGTGAGGTCCTGCGAAATCCATCCTCTCTATCCTTCCAGTCAACCATGTCTGTATACGATCAACCATGCGACCAACGGCACGGCACTTCAGCTGACGACATGGAGTCTGATAACAGCCCAAAACGTCCTGCCTCCAGCACAACACAGACTCCAACAAAAAAACTCCACATAAATATAAAAAACAAAAAAAGTTATCTGCCCAAGCTCGTCAGGCAAAACGTGAATCCGGACGAAAACGCGGACCAACATAGTAAACTCTAGTGAAATAGCAAGGTAAACTACATGAAACATGACATGAATACAAAAGAATGTTCCAGGATAACAAAAAGTCGGTGCTTTAGGATGCAACTTATTTTATTTACTAGATCTACTGACTAACGTCACTCATCCCACTACTATCATATTGTTTATAATACACATTTCCAGACACGTTCTGTACAGTAATGTTAACATTACGTCCTATGATCTGTTCAGTTTATTTCAATAACCGTTTTCGTTATCATATATTATACATTCACTTGTGTTGACCTGTGCTGATTGTGAAAGATACACGAAAACAGTTGGCTTATAACATCACATGTCGGCTAAATGCAGTTTATTGTAACATTATGATCATGGTACGAGCACAGAGCATTAGTTCAACGTCAAGCTGATAAAAGTAGGCTATTAATGTACCTGCAGTGGGAGTTTACATTAGTTTCCATGTTGTGTGATTATTTCGCCGTTGCGTTGAAAGTTTCCGTGTGGCCGGTAGTGAATGCTCGCTCTTGAGATCTAGCACGAGCACTAGCACTCTTGTTGCATTCTGAAACATCACCGCTAGAGGCCGCTAAAAATCGCATACAGCACCTTTAAATGTCAAACTGATCTGAGAGGGTTTATGTTAAGGAACGTGACGTGAGGTGATGCGGTCATCTGGTGGTTAGACTCAGTACTGTCATTCTGAGATTGAGCCTTTAATCAATTAATATTGTCATGACATTATTACATAAATGGATTCAGTCCATTGTAGTTTGGTGATTAGATCAGGTATATTTGGTGATTGGATCAGGTCTAGATCAGATCAGCCCATGATGCTGTGTCTTCGAGACTCAGCTCATGTAGTTAATATGTTGGGTAAAGTTACTTTGTCTTAAAAAAAATTGATGGTTTGCTCTGATTATCTTGTGGAACTGTAATAATACATTTACCTGACATAATAAATTGTTATATTTGGCTATTCTAACGCCCGTTTCACACATACTCCGTTTGCAGTGCGTATGCGGTACAGGAGCCGCACGCGCTAACGTGCTTTCACATATGCTGCGTTTGCATCGCGTGAGCTGTACCACAAACACTCGCTATTTTTATTTCAAAATCAGAAGTTATGCAGCAATAGCGTGACCAGTGACCACCAGTCCTGTTATCCCAGTCCTGTTTTCACGTCCTTCCTGGCCGTTTTTTATAAAGTGATGTCCTGGTTTTCAAAAAAAAAAAAAACGCTGGAAAAGATCAGCTTTATAGCAAAATATAGGAGATGAGCAGTCAAGGAGGATGAGGAGGAACAGGATAAAGAGGAAGGAAACGAGTTCGTTTTTGTACGTTTGTGAGAGGTATTTTTGTTCAATTTGAAGCATTTCTTTTAGTTAATTAATATTGATATATTTATTTTTCTAATACAGAAGAGACATTATTTTTTAATCATTATTTCATTCATTCATTTTTTAAACCAACCTGTCATAATAAAACATGTTGAGTATCCTCTGAGAAGCCTATCTGATTTTGTGTCTTAATACAACAATTTTCTATCCACAGAGGGGGCATAGCCTATTTTAATTGTATTGAAATTAATAAGGCATCTTTGAGTAAACTTCGAGTATCATTTGTTTTCT